CCCCAAAACCCCAAAACCCCAAAACCCCAAAACCCCTGTGAATATATCTTCAATTGCAACGTTAATTACTTAATCCTAAATTATTTTGATATGTCTTTGAAGCTGATTGGGGACTTTAAATCATGAGAGAAACTCTTAGCTTTATGATCTCGGTTATACTCACTAATATCATACTCTGATTTAATGACAGGCGTTTGATGAGGGTCGTTACTACATTTCATTTTAGGTATTGTTGCCCTATCACATTCTTTGGTAGCTGCTCTTACAAATCCAACTTTTTGATGTTCAACATCAAATATAACCAAATAATTTTGAAGAAAACTTGCTCCAAGGACAATATTTGATTCATTTTCAGCATACGGTTCAATTGCAAGACAAAATTTAGCATCACCTTCTTGATAAAAATAATCACTTGGATACCAATTGATTTTCTTTGATCCAACATGAAAGCTTATCACAGGGAATGAGTAGAAGAAATCTTTGTATGTGAATTCTTGAAAAGGGATAAATCTATAACATCCTTGGTCATCTCTTCTTCCTAGTCACTTATACTTTTTCTGTTTTCAAAAATTTGAAATAGCTGTTTCTATATTATCATATTGCTTTTGAGTAATGTAAGTAAATGTTATACCAGAATCTATCTTTGCAATTATTCCTCCTGAAATAATCTCGTCGTCGATAGAAAGGTTATCAAAGGATACTCTATAATTCTCATCTGAGATATTATCTATCCACACTATATTTTGTGGTGGTTCAGCTAGAACAGAGTTATCATAACCTCCAAGGTACATCATTCCTCCATTTTTCTCAAGAAGAAGGCTGAATTGGAGCTTCTCGATGAATCCATTCTCATAAAATGTGTAAAATACAGGCTTGAAGTTATCTCTCACAACAGGCTGGAGCCCCATTATCCCATTTGATATCTGAGAGAGAAACAAATTTGTCTCTCTGGTAACTCATCCGAAAGTGTATTTAGGAGCAACTGATGTATATGGATTTGAGCTAAATTGGAAATAATCTGTGACGAAAAAGCCTTCATAAGAGCTTCCTTCATTGTAAGAAACTTCAAAGAGACATTGATTAGCATCTCCTCATCCTCAATCATAATCTTTACAGTTCTCAACGTATGCACTAGCTGATTTATAAAGAGAAAGTGGAGAGAAGATATGATCCCCACATTTTTCACAAGTCTCTATACAAGGGAAGCATGTTATAGAAGACCCAGTGTCTACTATAAGAGCTTGCTTCGATGGATTACTAGGGTTTCCAACATAGACGTCGACATAATAATACATTATTTCAGAAATATTCCCATAAATTGGCGCAGAGTATACTTTTTCTTTAATCTCAGTCAAAGAGCTTAGGTTTCTACCTCGATTTCTTAAGTTATGGCCAATCCTAGAACCTCTTTTGGTCTTTATAGTGAATCCTACGGCAAAGATGCATGCTAAAATCAGGATTCTTATAGTTCAGGACATTTTAATTTGAATAAAATTCAACACAACTGTCTAATTTTGGGGTTTTGGGGTTTTGGGGTTTTGGGGTTTTGGGGTTTTGGGG